GCTTCCTGGCCAGGAAGGGAGATGTTTGGAGGGCAATGAAATGTCACAGAAATAGTAAAAAGGACAAATTTTCTTTGAAGAGTAAAAAAAATCCAGGCTTGCTTTAAAGAAAGTAATGGAATGACAATCTTCCAAAATGAGACCTTTTGCCACATATCTCCAGGAAATTAGCATACAATTTGTAAGTCATATTCAAAGTATTTCTTAAATGTAAGTCAAGAATGATGCAGGCTGCATTGAAGCTGTTTTAAAGTTAAAACTGGGGTGTGATATACAATCCACAGCTGCCTCTAAGAAAGATGTGTCTGGTAAAATCCATCTTGCTAAGAACTTTTGGACTTTACATCTAAGAGTAACTTACCTGTCAAAATCCATTGTGCCATGAACTTTTGGACTTTAAATTCTTCACACTGGTACACCCTGACAAAGTGGTCCTGATCCATGAAATCTAGCAGATTGTATAATTTTTTGTTGTCTATAAAGGTATCACATACTTTTGCATTTGTATTTTGTAATGACCACACAGCTCCCTTTTAGTTCAACGAAATAATTATTCTGAGAATTCCAGGAAGTAAGGGAAGAAAAAAAATAAGATGTTGGAATTGTATACAGGAGTGAGAGACTGCTGGGTACCTGAGATTAATGGAGCTGCAAGATCAACTAATAATAAGTAGAAATAGAAAGCAATGCAGTACTATAAGGTAAGAACCAATGGTATTGAAGAGGGCTGTGAAGTTTCTGCAGAGGAGAAGCAACATAACTTAGAAAGACACAACATAAGGGAAGCAAAAAAGAATGAAGAATGAAAAGAAAGTAATAGATGCTAATCCCATGGGCAACTCTCAATTTCCCAATTCACACTGTTAGCCATTATATTATACTACCTTTAAGCCTCCTTTATATCAAAGAGAAAAAAACATAAAAGACAAAGATTAAATTAATTTATTAAACAATGGAAAAAATACACAAAACAGCTTTCATTTACATGATTTAATTTGAATTTTCTAAAGATGATATCACATGAACATTGATAAGCTATATTTTTCTTCATTTTAATTATCAAGCATTCTGCATGGAATTATCCCGATAAAAAAGGCAGTTTTTTAAACCAACTAGATGATATTGCTGCAGAGTAGAGGCCTTTTCTATAAAATGATTTCCAGTTGATGTTTAATTACTACTGGTTACAGTAGAAAATTATTTTGAGTTGAAAAATGATAGGTGGCCTACATTAAACTAGTAAGATGTATATTCACATACACATGACCTTATCAAAAAGCTGCCCTAAAAGCTGCAAAGCTTTACAAGAAAGATTTGCAAGAATGGTCAGCACTTCCTGTGTGGCTACCTGACATGGGGTCATGCCATTCCCTAGTTTTGCATTATGTAGGGTTTCTCTGCTCCTCTTGAAAGAAACCACCAGCAACCTGGAACAATTGACATCCCTGCATTTGTCTTAAGGTTTTGGAGCTATATAAAGCTCTCCTTGAAAACCATTCATTTTTCAGTGTTATGGGAACCCTCAAAAGAAACCCTTACCAATATACTGTATTTGCCTTTCCATAAGCCCTCAAACACAACCTTAAAGTAATCAGTGCAAAACTAGTAGTAGTCAACTAGTCTCAAACACTACCCAAATGTGACCACAAAATGACATATTTTATAATTTAGGGTTGGAATTATCAGAGCTTGGTAAGACAATAAGGAAGCATGGAGCCTGTCACTTATTTGGAATACAGAATAGCACAAAATTTAATTCTATATGGTGTGGAAGCCAGATCAGTTATTGTAATAAAAGCCATAATCATCGCATCTCTTGAAAACTTTACACAAGCTTTTTCATAAAGTTATCTCATATTGACAAAATATTCCATACACATAATAAACAACACTTCTGCTAAACCTTCTGGAAAGTCAAAAAGGTGGTGGGGTGTGTAAGAGTATATTAAATAAAGAGGACTAGCTTTCTCCTGTATATTTATTTTTCAGAATAAAATCCACAAACAGAAATAATTGATCCTGACAGTTGTTATCAATTTAGGGATATATTTTTTGTAGCTACAATTTGAAAAATAAGCAAAGTTCTATGTAGTCTGTGAAAAATTGTTCCCCTTGAGTGTGCATCTTCAGTTATGCAGCAGCAATAGAAGCATCATCTGGTTGATGGCCCTGTGGCTTTAAGAAGAGGGGGGAAAATAAGATTTTCTTGCAAATATATATACCATTGAAATGCACAATCTACATACTTTTGTATATTTCATATATTTTACAATTCACCTGAGTCTAAACGTATAAATCTACCATATGATAATCCAACACATTTTGCCTGCATTTCTATCCGTAAATGTATTTAATGTAAATTATGGAGTGCAATAGGTACTGAAGGATTGTTAGAACAACCATTGAACAACTTAGGCTAGAAGAAAGTTCAGGTTATTGCACTGAAGAATATCTGCCTTAAATTCACTTATTTATGGAAATAGATTGTGAGATTTCATACATACATATTCTTCTTTTTGTTTTACTATTTTGTTCTAACCCAAATTGTAAAGTTCCAAAAAAGGAAGATACTCAGTTTGATTATATATCTATCAGTAAGAAGAGAAAAATCATCCCTCACTTTTTTGAATTTCCATAATTAACTGAATTTCCAATAGAAAAACATACTTATCTTCTGTCTATCATTTTGAGACACTAACAATAGCATACCATCCTTGACTCCCACAGAAGACAAATATTTACCTCATAAATGGACACTTAAAAGTTATTGACAAGACTAGTATCCCACCAGATTTTAAGAATCTCATTTAATTTACAGAAAATGAGAAAAACAAGAGACAGTTACAAGAGACTGTCACATCAAGATACTAGGCAAAAATTCTCCAAACACAGCCAAGAAGAGCTTACAACTCAGGACATGCTGAAAGCTTCTTTCTCTTGGGACAACAGGCTTATGTCTCTAGCTGGCAGCAAGTATAAATGACTGATCTAAATAGTACACTGATTATCAGAATCTGTGGGAAACACCCATTCTTTCTGGCTGTAGTGCAATCAAGCAGAATGCAAGGTTTATTTGCTATGAAGGAGGAGGAATTAGTTCATTTGACTATATAGTTTGCAAAAACAATTTGCATTTTTTCATTAACTTTGCCTGGACATGTCACTTCTGTGTAATTCCAACATGAAAAAGGCAAGGCAGGGGGAGAAAACAGCCAATATATCTTCACAGTAACTAACTCGACTATCATAACGTTTAGTTAAAACCAAAGAAGCCATATAAGTTTTAACTTTGTGTTTGGCTTTCTCCAGTTCCAGTTATTCACAAATGTGGTTTAGCATCCTGGTAATTTCCTTGCAACCCAGAAAGATACATTATTTTGAAAACGTATTTTAATGTGCCTTCTTTCTTTCAAAACACTGAAAGAAATATAATAAGGAATGGCAGTTGTGGTTTTTTTTTTCTTCCTGATTTCAGTTTGGACCACTTCAATAGGGGAGAAGCTTGAGCACTGAAGTACATTTATCAAGACTGAATGGATATTCTGAATTTTCCTATAAAGAAAAATTAGGCCACCTTAACATAATTGTTAGAAGCTCAATTAAATAAGTATCAAACATACTCCACTGTAACACTTTGTAATTCTCTAATAGTTGTTACATCAGCCTGAGAAATCTAACATCAGCTGACTATATATATTCAAACATATTGTTGCTAAAGGTGAAGCATGTGGTGAAAGGTTCTATAAAACAGTTTTGTTGCTGTTACCTTTACAAATATATGTGTTGGTATAAACCTTCTAAGTAGCTGGTTAGTGAAGTGTGGAAACCTGAGCAGGTTGATGTTCAGTGAAGGCAGTTGTTGATATCCAGCCATGAGAGGGTAGAAGTTATATAACATTTCTTGTTGAGTACCAGGCAGGATCCTTAACCTTATCTAGAGGTATAGTAGAAAATCTCCCATCAGAATACTTGTTTATTTTAAATCTCTAGATACTTTTAAATATTTAATACATCTGACAAACAGTTATATTAAATAAATACTTGAAAAAGATAATCATAATTATTCCCACTGAATCCTGGAAAGTCTCCACTCTTCTTCAATACCATCCTTGCAATTTCAACCTTCCTGATAAACCAGCACATTCAGCAGTTTTCATGAATCTAGCTGAGTAAGACTTTGGAAAATTATTTATTTGCTACTTAAATACCAGTCACTTATGACTGGAACCTTCTATGTATGTTAGCATGGATCCTTGCAATATTAATGAGTTCAAAGCCTGTTTGTGTGTTTTATCTCTCTCTATTTATGACACATGCTGTTTTAAAAACCCTACTGGAACCTTCCATGTAACAGGGCACAAAGAAAAATCATACAGTTTTCTAGGAGAAATCTATACTTTTACTGTCATCATCCTTCTCTCTTTTCCTTTTGTTTAAACTCCCATTTCCAGACACATGTTCATTATTGATAAATGTAATGTTCCCTAAAATACTTGATACTATATTTCGGCTTTCGGTTTGTAATATAAAAAAAATTTGTAGTATTTACATATAAGGATCTACATATAAAGTCACTCTTCTGATAAATGTAATGTTCCCTAAAGTACTTGATACTATATTTTGGCTTTCGGTTTGTAATATTAAAAAAATTTGTAGTATTTACAATATTAATACTAATACTAATACTAATATTTCCCAAACTAGGAACTGTTGGAAATTTCATTCCTCAAAATTTCTCTCTTCTTGGATGTAAAATTTTGCACATGCTTTGAGGACAAAGGAGTAGTTGGAACTGACAAATTAACAAGGTTGTAAGGTATGCAAATAGGTGAGTAGATAATTCATTTGTATAAACTGAGCAACAGGGCAAGAAAGCAAGCAGCCTTTTGTCAGCAAATAACTTTGTTATCTAAGTAGCAAATAAACTCAATAAAGAGCAGCTGTGACCCATGAATTGGTCCTCTGTTTATTTTTACAGATTAATAGGGATAATTGCAGATATAGAGCAGGCAGTCTGGAGATTTCAGCGCAAACAAGATCTGAAGGAGGTCCAAAAGTCTAAGCTTGTCACCAAAACCCATACCTGCTTAAGGCCAGAAAACATGAAGGCATCGCTGGGTTCCACTGACACTTCTACATCTTGAACTAAATTAGTCTTATTCTGAAGGTGATACTTCACAGGCAAGGATTCTCGAACTCGACCAAACGAGGGCAGATCTTTGGAAACAAAGTCCATGAAGTTTACACAGAAGCAAAGACATTTCTTATTTTTGTTTCAACTTTGCTAAAATACATTAGCATTAGGATTTTATACCTAACAGACCAAGAGGATTATAACTGTTTTTAAGTAATCGAGCATGCAATTAATCCTGCAAACATTGTGACTTAAAGTAGGACTGAGAAAAATATACTGTAATTAGTTCTCTTTTCATAAACTGAAATGTGCTGAAAGGCTGCAAGGCAAATTCCAACTGTCATCCATATGTCAATCATGAGTACCAAGTGAAAGGGAAAAGTGAATCACAGCACAGATTTTTAAAAAATGGAACCAGCATAGCCTATTTAAGGTTTTGTTTTTAGAAACAGGAATGACATTTAAGGCTTCCTATCACTAAGGAAACAATGGAAGAGTGAAGACCAAACCATTAACTTATTAAAATGTGAAAACATTAATCCATTTCAGTGTCATCACTTTAATAAGGAAAAAAGGGGCTAAAAAGTTTCTTTATGGCTGGAGGTAGTGAGACCTTTGCCTATGGGTTGCCATTTGAAATTAAGGGGTCATTTTCAAGGATCAAGTGTGATGAAACAGTTTGTGTTAAGGAGACCTCGACCCGAGATCCTGGGTTCAAATCCCTGTTAAACCATGAAGTTTGCTGGATGACCTGGACCACTCACTGGTAGAATCAGTTTCTGCTGCTTACACAACAGTCCATTGTCTGAGCAGCTGTGCTTTTTCAAAGTGCACATAAAGGAGCATTCATTACCGCATTGCTTTAAACAAGATGATGTCCAGCTTGTACAACTGAAAACTCATGGTTGTGGAGACTACCTTGCCCACAGGGCATTAAATTCCACAATTCCAAACAGAATTCTTGCAACTATTTCTTACTCTAACCACAATCTTAGTCTAACCTACCTAAGCAACCCTTTCTTTCCTTCTTTTTCTTTTTTCTTTCTTTCTTTCATTTATTTATTTATTTATTTTTACTCCACCTTTCTCTTTAAAATAACACTTTACCCTTTGAAGGATGGGATCTCACATGCAAATATATAAACAAACAAGGCCAACACCTCCATTCTCCTGTGGTTCTTATTTTTTCTCTGATGGATAAAATGCTTAAAAGGTCTCCTTAGTTCAACAAACGCTGGGGATCATTAGAGTTAAAATCCCAAACACCAGGAAGGCACAAGTTTAGGGAAGGGTAATATACCGTATTTTTCGCACCATAAGACGCACTTTCCCCCCACAAAATAGGGGGTTATTAGAGTTAAAATCCCAAACACCTGGAAGGCACAAGTTTAGGGAAGCGTAATATAAATTGCAACAGTGCTGCTGCTGCCTGTTGATTTCTTTGCCCTTCTTTTATTTTATGGTGACTTGTGTAAGCACCAATCTTTAATGAATAATGAAGAGATATCTCTAAGGGTGTGACTACACTGCCCAAATAATCTGAGAGTGGTGTTGGGGCATTACTGTATGAATTTCCACATCAAGTGCTCTTTGTGTTGCTGTCCCCTTCCTAATCAGGCAGCCTCAATTGAACTGGTTGATTCAGTGCAGGGACTACACTGCTCTTTAAATGGCCTTAAAGAGACCCAAGGTGGCACTTTGACCTCCACATAAGTCTTTGACCCCCACCTGCAATTCTGTCCTTGTCCATAATTTTCATCTCCAAAACTAATTTCCCCCTTTAAAAAAAATTCTTAATGGCATAGTGCTGGGTCAATGTTACAAACAGAAAGACTCCAGCATCTATGTGATGTACTGTTCAAGTTGAAAAATTAACAGGTTGGATAGCAGATGTGATTTCTCAATGGGAAAGCATACCCTACTGCCTCAAAAACATCACCAAGATGTCAACACAGGGAAGGGCCCTGCTCATAGAATACAATGACACAGCTGTTCACACAATCAAAAACAGGTAAAAAAATTAAGCATGATGTAGTGTGATTTAAAATACACAACCACCTAAAAATTAAAAGATTCCTTGAAGAAAAGTGCAACTTTCCTTTGCACTTACAATAATGATACGTGGTGGAGAAATTTTTAATCAATTTGCACTGTGCTGAAACAAGAGTAATTGGTGGAATATATTGTAATGTAGTCGGACCCTGAGAGAAGTATGCGCTTTGTCCCCAAACAGGATTAATACAAGAACATCTCATGACATACTCCCCGAAACAAATTAAAGACAGCAAAAAAGTGGGGAGAGTTTTCTAAACTAAGCACATGAAGGAGAACATGCTTTTATTCATACAGTAATATTACCTGCATTAACATGGAGCGGGATACTTTCTGCAATAACATGAGGGAGTGTGATTACAGTATTAACAACAGGTGTGCTCTTCAGAGCTGAGCTCCTTTAAAAAAAAGTTGAGATAATTTATTTTTACGAGTTTCTTTAGAGAAATGACTACTTAATTTTCACAGTTTAATTAAAAAATACATTAATTAGCTACAGGATTGTTTTGGTTTTGCTATAACTATCATGGCTATCCTTCTTGAAATGGATGGAAAGGCAAACATATATTACAGGCATATATATAATGTAGTATTATTACATTAGTTTTCTATAATGTGTTTCAGCTATAATATAGCTTCCAAAACACTAACAAATAAAATATCAGTTTTCAGCAGCTCTTTCTAATCAATACTCATTTTTCAAAAGTATTAATCCTGGTCCCACATTTGTAGTACAAAAAACATACAAAGGGTGTGGATTCAGGAGTAACTTTAAATCCCACAGAACGATCCTGGTCTCTGAATTTGGATTTATCCTTAAAATACTACCAAGATATAGCTCAAATGACATTCTAAATTCAGTAGTGGAATTCAACCACTACTGGTCCTTCCCACATTATATACCATATTTTTTCTGTTTATAACAAGCCCTGTTTATAAGACACACACCCCACTTCTCTAACCCCCAAATTAAGAAAACCTAGTTTGAATATTCATCCTTTGGGCTCAGAATGTCAGATATTTTGAATCCCTGTTGAATTTGAGCCTACAGGCTCCACCTTCAAGAGGTGTGTTCCAATTGGTTTCTTCAGCATCAGCTGACATTAGTTCCATAAGGCTCATGATTGGAGGAAACTAAGTCTCCTGACTGTAGGAAGCTAAGCCTTATGACTGAAGGAAGCCTGTTTACAGAGCCAAGGTATGTGCCATTCCTAATATAAAAATTAGTATATAGCTAATCAACTAAGATTTATTAAATATATTATACAGTGGTGCCCCGTATAGCGACGTTAATCCGTTCCAGGATTAACGTCGCTATACGGAAACATCGTAAAGCGAAATTAAAAAGCCCATTGAAACGCATTAAAACCTGGTTAATGC